GTAGCACACAAAGCAAGAGAACAAAGTAGAAGAAATGCATAATAGAGAGAGTAAACAGAGGTGTGAGACAGAGGAATAGTAATAACAAAGAACAATATAGTTTCATTGGAAATCATAAGTCACAAGGAGTGGATGCATCTGCGCCAGCCAGCTATTGAGAACGATTATGAGCCATATCACCAATAGTTTCCAGTCATTGGTTTTTACCGTCCCGAGGACCCCAACCAGGAAGCCAGTCTACACCTTTCTACGTGGTTGGCTTAAACTGACTGTTGTGGATTTCATTGACTGATGAAGTCATGTTTCGGTTTGACCACCACCATCTCTAGCTCTTTTCCAGCCTGACTCTATGTCAGCTAACACTGTCCATTGTCGAGGAAGGCGATGACAAAGGCATGCATGCGTAACACATGTCCTGACCATCTCAGTCGATGTAGCTTCACAGCCTCGTCGATTGATTTCCCCTTCTACCTATCTAGCAGTCCACCGAGGCCTAACCTCAATATTGCTCATCTTATTATACCACTTCACACAGGGGATAGAACCCAGGCACCTATGATGAAAGACAGCTAGCTAGCCGGCCTTTCCTTGTCCTCCACTCTCAATGGCCATGTCTCACAGCCATAGGGGAGCACGGAACGGACTGCTGAGCAGCACACACGTCCTTTAGTCGTTAGCCGGATATCAAGTCTACACCAGAGACGGCGTAAACTGGAATATGCGAAACTATCCCCTGTATCCGTGCTGAGATTTCGTCAAAGATCAACCCATTGGGGCTGATGGTACTTCCCAAACAAGTGAAGCGATCTACGTGCTCTACCATTTCACTCCCTATTTCTAACCTAGGAATCGGTGTAGTCCAGTCCTGTGATATCATCTCTCATTTGGTGGGATTCATTGGCTCACAAATTCTAACTTCTACCAATTCGTGATTTAGCGCGACTGGCACCAACCAATGTCACCGGTGCAGCTCAAGTTGTTCAGAAGACTCTGCATTTTGTCAGCGTCCTCGCCTAGAAGGACTATATCGTCTGCAAATTCTAAGTCGAGATTATTCCCTGGTAGCAAGTCAATCCCTGTGTCTCTGAAGCGAGTTAGGGTTTAATCCATCAGTACATCTTTAATGAAATTGAGTAGAAATGTGGATAATGAGCATCCCTGAATGACACCACTAGTCGTCATGAGTTCAGATGACAACTCGCCGTAAGCCCTCACCTGGCTGCATGAGTTCGAGTAGAGTGCCTTAATCAGTGCAATGTATTTTCTCGGTATTCCCTTTACAGCCAAGCATCACCAGAGTACTTCTCGGTCGATAGAGTCGAATGCTGCCTTTAGGTCAAGAAATATAATGACTGTTGGACGCCGGTAGGAATTCCTATGTTCTAGAATCTGTCGGAGGGTGAAGATATGATCAATACACCCTCTTCCTGGTCTAAAGCCTGCCTGTCTCTCTCGTGTTTGTTCCTCCCGAGCACCACTTAGTCTACGCATGATTATTGAGCCTAGGACTTTAGATACTATATTAGTCAAGCTAATCCCTCTGTGACTATCACAAGAAGACTAGTCTCCCTTCTTGTATATGGGGATAATCAGTGACTTACACCAACCCGATGGGACTTCTTCTGATTCCCAGCGCTGCCTAGTACCTCAGTTAATCCAGACAGTAAGCTGTCTCCACCGTACTTAAATACCTCTGGAGTCATTCCATCAGGTCCCACTGCTTTGCCTAGTTTCAGATTAGTGACAGCTTTAGTAGCCTCAGTTACGGATGGAGGACCTGTGTCTATATCCCATTCAGGGAGGTGTTGGATGTTCGGCAGGTCGGGTGTGGCTGTGAGTCAATTAAACTGCTCCTCATAATGCTCTTTCCAGCGATCCAGTCGTCTATCCTGGGAGCTAGTTGTGGTGCCATTTTTCTCAGGTGCCCGCCTCTTTCCTTGATAGTTGTCTACTGTTGCCAATCGCCGATGCCTTTTCCACCTCTTTCGCTTTTATCCCCCACCACAGTTCACAGTCGTTTTGGAGGCTTCTTGTTATTTTTCGTTTGAGTAGCTTTCACACCTCATCATAATCGGAGCTCGCTGGAAGCAGTCTTCTTGCGTCAATCAGTTCGGATGAGGCGGTAGAGATTCAATGGCTCTTACTAAATTTTGGTCTTCAGTGAATCTATGTCATTTATTGTATTTTGTTAGTTATGCTGTAATTATGTCGTCGTCTTAAATGTGTTTTTTTTAATATATTTATTTTTGCTTATGCCTCTAAGCCTTCCACCTGGAACTCGTTCACCCGGTAGTGGTAGTGGTTATGGAACCTTAAGAAGATTATCAAAACTTGGCAAAGAATTATCAACATGTCAGGTAAAACCACGTCATCCAGATACTCGGCTATTAGAATGTCAATCTCGACCAGATCGTTGTCCAGTTCGGCTATATGAAGCATTCTGTTCACATCGTCCGTGTTCCACGACAACAATTCACTCACCATTCTATTTACAACCAGATCGAGCTGCTGCGTCTATCCATTATTATCATCGTCAACATCCGTCCTCCTCCTCCTCCTCCTTCTCCTTCTCCACAAATACCAATTCATCAATATGGTTCACCTTGAATGCTCTTGGAAAGAATAAAATTGGTTCAATGTTAAACGGGGCATTACAAAGTATCGGTATGCCTGTTGGTAGACAGGTGAATTTAACACGATTCTGTGATTCACTGATAGCAGCAGTTCTCTCGCTACCCTCATCATCAACATCGTCTTCGCTAAATAGCAACAACAACAACAACAGCATCAGTGGAGGTGAATGTGACGGTGACGCTGGTGACCTTACTAGGGAGGCTTATCGTGTCAGTGAAGCATTACGTAGTATATTATCAAACAATCGGTTAATAATACCTTATCAACAAATTCCTGAATCATTACAACCAACTGTAACATCATTAGCTGAAAAAGTTGTTCAGTTGTCAGCGACACGTGGTTCACCGATATACAATTATCTGGCTAAATTGTCTGCCTTGAAAAAATCTATCAATAATAATAATAATAACAATAAAAAAACGGTATTAAAAAAAACAAATGTTAAAAAATTAGGTAAAGTATCATCGAAATTTTTATTTCCTAGCGATGATGACGATTATAGCGATGGTGATGGTGATGATGATGATGAGGACGCAGATGGCGATGACACTGAGGGTCATCAAGATCAGGAGACTACTGATCCTAATAAACCACGTCATCAGCAACAACATCAATTAGTCGGCTTTACAGATCATTTATCCCATTCAACAGTGAACACTAGTCATCATTGTAGTATCACTTCTACTACTAATAGTACGTCTACTGAGATGAATATCGATAATCAACGTCCATTGAAGTCGTCATCATCGGATTCTTCCCTACCGACTATGGTACCAATGAATATTTTTTACAATTCTAAGCATATTGATGATTGTTACAGGTAAGTTTTGACAGTTCATTATTATTATTATTATTATTACTACTATTATTATTGTTCCCTTGGGCTCCTAGTCTGTCTGTCTGGATTCAACATAGAACTTGGCACCGAAGTGCAGCAGTTCGAGTTGCCACGTTCCAAATAGCACACAGAGGTAGACAAGAAGATGAGTGAAGAGAATCAATAGAGTTTGACAAATATAAGAGTGAAACAGAATGGGTAATGGTAGAAAGGAATATGAAAGATTACAGAGACTGAATACATCTGCGCCATTGACAACGATTTTGAGCCATGTCACCTATTGTCTCCAGCCATTGATTCCTAGAGTCCCGAGGGCCCCAACCCGGAGTCTGCATCTCCCTACCTGACTCAGTTTAACTGTCAAGGATTTCATGGATTGATGCCATGTTTTTGTTTGGCCACCACTGGCTCTTTTCCAACCTGAACCTATATCAGCTAGCAATGCCCGTCGGGGGAGGCGGTGGTTAGGCATGCGCACCACGTGACCTAGCCATCTCAGTCTATGTAACTTTATAGCCTCGTCGATTGATTTTCCCTCTTTGCCCAACACTCTACGCCTAACGTCAACATTACTTACCTTGTGAAACCACCTAACGTGAGACAGAGATCGCAGACATCTATGATCGAAAGCAGTCAACCTTTTCATGTCTTCAACGCGTATTGGCCATGTTTCAGAGCCATAGAGAAGGACGGAGCGAACTGATGAGCAGTACACACGTCCCTTGGTTGATAACCGGATGTCACGCCTACGCCAGAGATGGTGTAAGTCAGCGAAAGCAGCTCGAGCTTTTCGGATCCGTGCTGAGATTTCATCGCCAATCAGTCCGTTGGTGCTAATACAACTTCCCAAGTAGGTGAAGTGGTCAACATGTTCTATCACTTCACTCCCTATCACTAAGTTAGGGGTTGACGGGGTCCAGTCCTGTAGCAGCATCTTACATTTTGCAGGGGCGAATCGCATGCCAAACATACGAAGATTGCTGCTCAAGGTGTTCAGAAGACTCTGCATTTTGTCAGCATCCTCCCCTAACAGGACTATGTCATCTGCATATTCTAAGTCCATTAGATTATTCCCTGGTAACAAGTCGATTCCTAAGTCACTACGTTCAGTTAAGGATACTTCCATTAGCATATCTATGATGAAGTTAAACAGAAATGGGGAAAGTGGACATCCCTGTCGGACACCACTGGTTGTTACCAATTCAGATGACAATTCCCCATAAGCCCTTACACGACTACGTGAGTTTGAATAGAGTGCCTTGATTAGTGCAATGTACTTTCTTGGCACTCCCTTCACAGTCAGACATTGCCATAGTACCTTTCGATCCACGGAGTCGAAGGCCGCCTTCAAGTCAAGAAATATGACAATTGTTGGACGCCGAAAAGTGTGTCTATGTTCTAGAATCTGTCGAAGAGTGAAGATATGATCTATGCACCCTCTACCTGGTCTAAAGCCTGCTTGATTTTCCCTTGTCTGTTCCTCCCGAGTTCTGCTTAGTCTATGCATGATTACTGAGCCTAGGATTTTAGAGACTATGTTCGTTAGGCTGATCCCCCTATGATTATCACACGAGGACTTGTTTCCCTTCTTGAATATCGGTATAATAAGTGACTTACCCCAGTCTGATGGTACTGTCTCTGATTCCCAGACTTTGCCTAGTACCTCAGTTAATCTACAAACTAGTATGTCACCCCCATATTTAAACACCTCCGGAATAATTCCGTCGGGTCCTGCCGCTTTGCCTCGTTTCAAATTACTGATAGCTTTTGTAACCTCACCTACAGACGGCGGACCAGTGTCTATATCCCATTCGGGTACGTGGTGGATGGCGGGGAGGTTCAGTGTGGCTGTAGGCAAGTTAAATTGTTCCTCAAAGTGTTCTTTCCAGCGTTCAAGGCGTCTATCCTGAGAGCTAATTAAGGAGCCATTTTTCTCAGAAATAGTCTCACTTATGAATTGCCTTCTCCCACCCGATTCTGTGATGAGTCTAAAGAGTTGCCTAGTGTTGCCTATCGCCGATGCTTTTTCCATCTCTTTCGCCTTTGTCACCCACCACTGTTCACGGTCCTTGCGGAGACTTTTAGTAAGTTTCCTTTTGTGCAGCTTTCGCTCCTCATTGAATTCGGAGCTCGCCGGAATAAGTCTTCTAGCATCTATCAGTTCGGATGAGGCAGTCGAAATCCAGTGGTTTTTACTCACCTTTGGATTTGCCTTATTCACAGCTTTTACAGCTGTATCTATAGCTGACTGAATATTCTTCCAGGCTTCTCCAGGGTGAGCACAGCTGTCGAATTCAGATATGCGTTTAGCTAGTTCTTCCTCAAATAGGGATTTAGTTTCCTGATCGAGCTGGGGACGTGATGGTTTTACCGCCAGCTGTTTCCTACGTCCGTTCAGTCGTAAGCACACACGAGCCCGGACCAGTGGAACGAACATAGGGCTTCAACTGCACGTCTCCACTTGCTTCTGTCTTCCTTCTGCTGTACTTTTCACCTGCATCCATGTTAGTCAACTCCTCTTCACACGATCTCCTCCATGTCACCCTTGAACTGACGTCCCACTTGCCGATTCCCCTTCGGCCTGGTTCCACTCGAGCAATGGCCTGACCCGCCCGCGATGTCACCCATCGGCCCGTCCTCAGCGAGTGAGTATCCAATCCATCTCCACTTTCTCCTGCATATTTTTCGGTTGGTGTTTGGTTCTTGTTTTGTTTGTTTGTTCCCATAGGTTCTTGTTTGTGGTGATTCTCTCCGGCCATCTGATCTTCACTATAGAGCGAAGACAGTTGTTGATGAAGGTCTGAGTTAGCCTGTTGGAAATATTCTTTTTGACCCGCCTGACAAGTTTCTTATCCATATAGAAGAGCTGACTGACTTGATGTTTGTTTCTATTGAAAATCCGACCGAATTTTGTTGTTGATGTTGGCTGAGTGACGAAGATTTCCAGATTGGTTTCAGGTTGATGAGTGAATGTGTTTCTCCCTCGATTTGACATCCTCGTCCTTTCCGACTGCATGTAGTTGAGACAATGCTCCCTAGATAAGTGAGTGAATGAGGTAACCTCTTTCAAATCCCTCCCGTTGATGGTGATTGGTGCTGAATGTTTCTGTTGTTGTTATTGTTGGTTGGTTGGTTATTTTCATAACCTCCGTCTTGTGTATGTTCACCTGGAGTCCTGTCTTCGTTGGCTGCTTCTTCGATCAGTTTGTCGTTCGGTTTTCGCTTGTAAGTCTTCGATTTTGTGACAGTGACATCAAACATAAATCATCCACGCGCAAAATCCAGGTCTTCTAGGTTCTTCACGTCAGTGGTCCAGGATATCCCTGTCCTCTCGTTTCCCACTCACTGTCTGACGCATAATCCAGTCAGTTCACCACAATTAGGAATATCATTAGTGATAATAGGCAGACAGCCTTGTCTTACTCCTGTTTTTACTCCAAACGCCTTCCTTCCTGAGTTTTCCGTTGTGGATCACTCGATAACAACATACGTCTCCACATTTTATCCTTGTTTTTTTCCTCTTCTTTTTCATTTGTCTTTAAGTGGCTTCTTGACGAGTGCTCATAGCCTATGATTTCCCCCTCATCACACGATGTTGTCATCCCTCACATCATCCCTTGAAGTGACACCTATTTAACGGTGTGTCAATCAGCACTGAGTGTGTGTGTGTGTGTGCGTGTCCTACCCATCTTCATTTCTTTTGGTAATAACTTCTTGGTTGTCGGTTGGTCAGCTGACCTTCAGCAAAAAAAATTGGCTTCTTTTAAAGAGAGATCATGGGTGGGCAGTATTGAAGAATCTCAGGCTGGGACGAAACTGCTCTCTGGTACTTTTTACCGATTTTCCGATTGGCTTCTTTTTTAAATGGTGCCTATGATCAATTAGATCATCGAAAATCTACACTTGAAAGTTAATCTGACGCACACACTACAGACTGGCTCCATATAAAGTTCAAGATTCCGTGATCAGTAGGGTTTGTCAAGTCAGGTAGGAGGATTTAGGCTACTGGCTCCCACCGTTTATAATATATCGCGAACTGGCAGACGGAACAGTTGGTTGGATAGTTTCCAAAGTTGCCTTGTTACCTAGGTTCGAACCCCTGTGTTGGGTGTGCTGGCTAGTGAAGAGTCCCAAACTGGGATGAAACAGTTGTTCACTATTTTTTTTATCGGGATTCCAGTGGTTCTTCAACTGATGTCAGTCAGCTTGTGAGTAAACCTGTAAACAATCAATCGCATTAAGTCGCACAGTTGTTTTGCTAACTTTTTGTATGTTAACCCTGCTTACTTATCGTTCTTGTTAGTAATCCTCAATACCATGATAATTAGTTAAATACGTGTCTATGTGTGTGTGTGTGTGTCTGTGTGGAAGCATTTCTGATGGTACTAACTGATTACCACCAATGTTTGCCCAGCAGTTGTCGATTCTTAATGACACTAAACTGAACAGCATTCAAGCCTTCTATAAAAATTAGCATCCAACAACGTCTTTGTGTGTTTGAAAGCAGCACTAGAATTCATTCTGTGTTAAGTAGACAACATTTAGTTTTACTGTGGTTGTTGCTTTTCTTTGCTTCGAGGGATGTATAAATCTAATTGTGAATTATAAAAGAATCACAGCATGTGATCGATTTTTCTAGGTCACATTTTATTTTATCTGTTTTTTTATTTGTCCCCCCCCCACTCCATCCCACCTAACCCCTACTGTGTTTATCACAAGTTAACTTCAATTGGATTATGTCATCATTCATATGTACATGTCTAAAGGGTATAAAGAAAATTGAAATACAAAAGGGACATAGAAATGGAAACATAGACGCGTATGTATCAGCTCAAGTCAGCATATTTTCGAATTATTAGTTGTCAACCTGCAAGGATTTGATCGAATACAAGTTTTTTATCACGAATTAGAGAACCATTGACAAACTTGGGAGTTCCGGACACAGATGCTGCATCCTAGTTTGGGACTTTTCATCAGTACAC